TAAGGTTGCAGCAGTAGATCAGTCATATATGTACATGGTCCTTTTATTAGAGGGGACTGCTGAAGCTGTGGTAATGCTTAAAGTATTTGGAGCCTAATCCACTGCTTCATTGCTCCAGATGTGATAAATGCTGTTGACTTAATGCAGAAATTGGTGATGTAAAATGGAGAAACTGCCTCTCTGCTTCTTATGTAGCTATGGTGGTGAATCTCCTGTTACCAACTCCAGTTTTCAAGACCTTGCCCATTTTGTTAGGGAGGGGGTCATGCATGAAGGCCGAGAAGAAATTAGTAGGAATGGCTTATATTTGTACTCAAACTGAACTCATGAGCACTTGCGCAAAACTGACTCAGCATAAGCAGGCAATGAATACTGGTTGCTTTTGCTGGAGTGTGGTTCCAGTGATCCTGCAAAACCAAGTCATCCAAGTTATCATTGAAGCTCTCGGGGTGCAAACGAAGTTTCAGCCTTGCTGGGAACAGGACGGATGCAGACTGTCCCATCTCAAATAGTCGTATCTCATTCATTTGCGACCCCACTCCTTCTCTGCCCCCTCAAGAAGCCAGGTTGCTGTAGAAGTTGTAATTATTTATATAGACAAGACATTAAAAAGGTTGCTTTTGGAGCTCTAGGTTTTGACTATACATGTTAGTACTTTTGGCTTTAGCTCGTAGAGCTAAAGATTTTCTTAAGCCGCCATTGAGACTCTCACCAGAGCACCTCATCTAATGCTTTTCTCAACAGCTGAGAACTGGAGAAAACCACTGAATATTGTGACACTTGGCGCTGCTGTTCTGAGTGTGCTGCTCGGGAAAGACTGTTGTCTTGTTGTTTCTGCATATCAGTTACTTTAGATCCAAAAAGAAATGCTGAAAATTCCTACACACAAGGAGAGTTTATTTCCATGACTGTCATTAGGGTTACATTTCCTTTGGTCCAAGGTGTATGTGGCACAGTCAAATGGAAGTAAAATGGTAGACTTACCAAAATAGATGCATTTTGTTAATTTCTTAATGAAATTTTTTTTTGTGTGTAGTGTTTTTAAAGTAACAAGTATTGTAAGCAGTATGTTATTTTTAAACCAAGGACATTTTGTGCTGAAACTGGCTATTGCAACACTGGGTTAGAATTAGAATACACAAAATTCAAAACCACAGTAACCCTAATTCTGCCATTTTTGCCTTTTTAACCGCTCAACAATAGCGTTGTATTTGTACAGTATTTAAAAATATTTGTTAAAGGGAATGTGAAGAGCTACTGTCAGGCTTCTCTGTTAACTGTTTGTGCATGCTGTAGTGAAAATTCAGAGATGAGTACTCTGTGTGTCCACAGCTCAGACTTTCCTTTGTATTGCAAGTGAAGGAGCAGCTGAAGCTCCAGCCAGGATGGGGGCAGAGACCTGCATGGTGGAACAGACAGTGCCTTTGGCTCAGAAGACAAGCACCCACCATGGGCTAAAGCCTCTCTGCCATCTCCTTTCCCCTGGTATGTGCGTACCTAGATCTGTAGTCTCCAAGGAGCTACTCCGGCAAATGAGTAATAATGTTCAGGATAAAATAGTCTGACCACGAGGATGAATTCTATGCAACTGGTCCTGGCATGTGGGCCTCACTGGGGAGAGGTTATGGGAGGCCAGCACAGCCCAAGCCGCTGCTTTCAACCTGTCCCGGCCATGAGCTGCCTGACTTTCGCTGCAAGGGCTTTGTGCAGCTGGGACATGCATGTGTCCATCTTTGGACAGAAGTTAGCTCTGGATTTCACATGCCACTGATCACACCAACCTGAATGGATACATGTGGGGAAAAAATAACAAAACAAAAAACCAGAAAGCATCTTGAGAAATTATTTATCCTTTTTGCTGTTGCCTTGCATTTTGGCATGCGCTATCTGCATCTTGAATAAGAAGTCATCTGGCGCGTTGTAATGTGGTAGCAGTACAGACTGGGTAATCCTGGGAACCGGCAGCTTGGATCTTGCCTTTCCAAATTTTGCTGCTCTAAAACTTGATGACTTTGTTAAAAATGAACAGTTTCCAGGGGGTAAAAAGCCCCCAGAGAAGAGCTGTTGGCATTTTATATTTTTAAGCTGTCTTACTGAATGAAAACAGTTGATTATTAACTTGATGGGGTGACAATGAGTATATAGAACTTAAATATCTCACCACTCCCACAACGAAAAAAAACCACCCTCCATTGTATCATGGGAAGATACATAGCCAGAAAAACTTTCCAACTCGTTAAACTTTTATACTTGCTTCATACTAGCTTAATGTAGGCTTTTTTCCATCCTGTGATGTTGTAGGGACATTTCTGAATGCAGCTGAGGAGGACACCATCAATTTACCAGTATTTCTTTCTGAACGTGCCTTTCTTATAACAGAAAAAGCTGAATTACTTAATCTGAAGAATTAAAAAAAGGTTTCCTTGTTTGTGTGTTTCAAGTTGTTTATTCTGCCAAGCCTGATAACGAAATCAGTCTGAAAGTTTCCCCTGCAACCAGTTTAGTCAGCTTCTGTGATTGTGTGGGTGTTGTGGGTATTCAGACAAGGACAAGGGATAAAGGAAGAAAGTTCTAAAAAAACAGGAAAAAGCTATTGTAAATGTATCGGGCAAGTTATAAACTGGGGAAGGGTACTTGGAGTCTACCTGCAGCTACTTTTGATGCTCTCTGGTAGATGTTTTGGTGGGTTTTTCTTTCTCTTGTGGCTTGTGTTTGACTCTTTAGAAGAGGGGTAGGGGAAAATACTGATTTAAAGGACTAGAGTCTGGTTATATTGCTTTTAAACTGCATATTTTGTAGTGGAGATGGGTGGAGGTCAAGCTGCTATAGCTGACTTGGGGTTGGAAAGGAACAAAACATGATGTTTGGGCTCATTTTGAGCCCCGTGCCGGGTGGGACGTCTCTGCGCTCTCCCTCGTGTGCTTGGAGAGGCCATGTCGCATCTTGACATGGGGCCATAGCTGGCAGGAAGCATCGAATATTCCCTTTGCTGTTTCTCTCCAGTGTAATTTTAGTTTTCTGGCACCCTGATGGGGTTCTGCTGTTCATCCTGGTTGTGTCCTTCCCCTTGCTCTTCCTGATCCTCCTTTATCATCCTCAGCTGTGAGCCCAGGCAAAAGCAGCCTCGCTGCCTCTTGCCTGCAGGTCAGCTCGTCCCCATGATGGCGTGGGAGGGGATGTGGGTTTCAGCTGCTCATTACACCCGCGAGCAAGGACTTTGCAAGTTCTAAATTGAGGATTGTTGCTTCATACGTGTGTCTCTCCAAACCCATGGATTTAGACATTCCCTCACCATTAATTACATCCTCTCGTCTTGTAGTAGCAAGTAAAAAGGACAAGGTGAGCACGTTGTCCTGCTGCAAGGAGCCGAACGCGGCTTCTTTTTGCTTGGATGCTTGTGAGTTTCTGAAAGTACATGGCCGTTCTTTGGGAAGCGTGTCCTGCAGCTCTCACCTTGAGGTGTGGAGTAACCAGGCAGCTCGGGCCCCTTCTTGGAGGGCTTACATGTGAGTGACGCCAACGAGTCCAGCACTTGCCAGAGTCATTCCTAGTTAAAAGCAGGGCTGGATGCTTCAAAGGGAAGCCCAGATCACCAATAACTGATGGCCAGCAAGGTAATTCCGAGGTGGCACTGGAAGTGAGCAGTTTGCCTTGGTGCAATCTCTGGTGGAGATGCTGGGTGTCACCACCTCATTTCTGGAAGCCATAGGGTCCGGTCACCCGCATTTGTCAGTCATTTGACATCGAAGCTGCTCAGACAGATGCAATGCGAGACTGCCACAATTGGCAGCGGCGTCTGGCTCTGACAGAGCTTTGCAAAGTTGCCGGTTCGCCCCGTGGCAGCTCTTAACACAGCATCTCCAAGTGCGGTGTCCCACAAAATGCTCGGCAGCAGTCATGCGGAGGTGAAAAGATTTCCAGGCGAGCTTCAAAGAGAAGGATGTGACTAACTGTCTCGCAGGGAGCCAGGACATGGACCCAGCCAGATGAGGCAGCTTACATGAAAGGGCTGCCAAAGGAAAGGGAGAGGACACAGACGGAACTGGGACTGGGGGATGAGGAGGGATAGGCAGTTGGGAAAGGTAGAGGGGAAAAATCTCTGTGGGCTGTTTCCAGTGGCCGGGAGATGTATCTGCTCTCCGGGGAGGTAACCTGTGGGAAAAGCGACGAACCTCAAGCATGTTGGCTGTCGTTCCTGGCTCTGCTGCAAGCCTCCGCTGCCTGTCCTTGGAGCAGTCGCTCTCCCGGTGACTCAGTATCCCAGCTGTAAAACGAGTATTGCTGCTTACCTCATGGGATGTTGTGAGGGTAGTCTCGTGGATGCCTTTGCCATTTGATGTGTTAAGGGGGGGAGCAACAAAAAGTGAGCACGAAGACAGATGTGAAAAGGGATATGCACTTTCCTCGCCCCCTTCTCTGAATGTAATCACATCCCTAATGATAATATAATGGTGATTTATTCATCATTGACATATACTCCTTCAGTTGCACTGGTGGGAACAGTTTTTTGGTTTTACTTTTTTCCCCTCAAAGATGTAATTTTGTATGTTTATATGGTATGTTAATGTTTTAAGCAATTTCTAATAGAAAATCAGAAGAAATAATGAACAATAAATCAAAGTCAGACTAAGCCAAGATGTTATAAAGTAATACAAGAGTGGGATTAGAAGTAGAGTTTGCAAAGGGGGCCTCCAACAGAGAAAATGCAAATCCTGAGGCCTGAAGAAGGAGAGGTTCTGGTTTCCATCTGTCTTAATGTCCATACCTGATAGCATACCTGAGGAGGGCTAGAAAGCAGGGGGACAGAAAGGGTCAGAAAGCAAAAGGGCTCACTCCTCAGCTCTATCATTCTCAAATAAACTTCTGCAAAAAGAAGGGAAGTTCCAGTTAACTTTAACCTTGGAATAAATGTCACACTAATCTTACTCTGCTCACAAGGCAGTCTGACAGCTAACACACAAATGTGGGAGCCAGAAAACAGCAGATTTTAGGACAGTTAGGGAATTGGTTGACGTGGTACTAACATTTAGTTCTGTCTGTGCCTTTGTGTGCTAAAGCAAAATGGAGGCAATTGTCTCCTCTGTTGGAAAAGGGGCGCAAGGTTTAAGGAAGCGCCATAAAGAACATGGAGATCCACAGGTGGAAAATGCTGGGGGAGGTCACAGCTTCAGAGTTTAACACAGGAGCAAAATGCATGGTCATATTTCATCTGTCAAAGCTGGTTTTTCTTTAAAAAATAGGAAATCTCAGAGGCATTGGCTAGAGAAGAGGAACATTCATCTTTTCTTAGTACTGTATTTGAAAGTCTTTAGCTGCATAAGCTTTCCTGGGACTTGCCAAAGTTATCTTTGGAGAAAAATTAGGATTCTTGGTTTTTTTTAGGAACAGGTGTCAGCATGTGGAAACCCTTTGTTGTTAAATTTTAGTCATGGTTCCTTTTTTCCTTTTCTTTCTTTTTCCCATCTGCAGTTGAGTATGACAAGGAGTTCACGCCTCACCAGCGGCACCACAAGGAGTTCAAATTTAATTTGTCCCAGATTCCTGAGGGCGAGGCTGTCACAGCTGCTGAGTTTCGGATCTACAAGGACTGTGTTGTGGGGAGCTTTAAAAACCAAACCTTCCTTATCAGCATCTACCAAGTGCTGCAGGAACATCAGAACAGGTACGCAAGAGGGACCTCGCTCTGTGCCACCAGCTACTGTCCTGGGGAAGGCTGAGCTTGTGCATTCATGTTGAGAGGACTGCTAAATAAGTATCAGTTTTGTTCACATTAACAGAGTGATGTTATTGCCTGGTCCTTTCCTCATGGGAAATGGGCATAGTAGAGTGGAAAATGGAAAACTTCTGGAAAACTTCTCAGCCAGAGAAAGTCCACGGTATTGAAGCCTAGGGTGTCACTTAGCTGCAACCTTTGTGTTGTCTTTAAATAGAGCAAGAATCTGTTGTGAGGCAGTAGATTTTTTTAAACCAAAGCTGTTACACCGGCATTGCTCTTGTGCACTGAAATACCCATATCCCCTTTCAACTTAATACTACCAGCATAAAAAGCATAGTCTGTTTGAATGATACTGGTAATTAGTGCAGACTTGACCTGCTCTCAGCTGGACTTAACATTGAAGTAGATAAAGCGGAAGAAAATTCAGCATTTTGATCACAGGTACAAAATCACTCCTGGGTTTTCAGTGGCAGTGTAAGAGGCAAAAGAGAGAGAGGCAGGGTAGAAACTGACACACAAAAATCCAAACAAGTGTAAATGGAGTGATTAGTTTTAAAAGGGTAATGTTTCAGATTGGGGAATCACGTAAGGCTAAAAGATGGAAATACATGGTCAATTAAATGTTAGAGTCATGCTGAGCTACAAAAGTGTTTCATTACTTCTCCTGAAACGTGTCAGGACTGTAACTGTTCCTCTGCTGCAGGCAGAGAAACAGAAATCAGAAACAGCAGTGCTTGAAAAAGCTCCACCACTTCTCTCTATGAAGCTTTCCTGGGTGTTTTCCTTTCTGGTCCTTCTTTCTCCAGCCTTTCCATTGACACCATTTGGGGGGATCTGCCTTTGATGATTTGCTGTTGTGAGGGCAACATCAAATAGCTAGTGGTTGTTCTGTGGGGACTGTGGCCTCTGGGGAAATGGAGATAAATACTTGGGTGTACAGGTGATGGGGAAGAAGGTGTTAGTTTTAGAAGATCAGTGTTCCCTTTGTGCCTTGAGCTGTGGGTTGCTGGAGTGCTTCCTGGAGTAACATGCTTGCTGGTTAGGATGTACATCAGTGCCCATTTGAAGAGCTGATGGAAGTCCAGATGGTCATGCAGATTTCATAGATGTTAGCTGCATTGTTCATTTAGAGCCACATTAAATAAAAGATGGTGAGTATTGGTCTGGAGCTGGAGGAAAACCTCTGACAAGTGTCTGTGGAAGCAATCGATACGCTACTCTGTGATGGTCACCAAAGCAGGGCACGGAGTAGGAGAACTGTCAACTTTTATGTGTATATAACATTTTTTCAGAGTAAACTGAGCGAGCAAGTAAAGCATTGCGGGACAGAGAATAAAGTACAGGATACGGCCCCTACCATATCGGGTTCCTAACAAATTTGCAAACTCTTGGTTCCAAAAATGGCTGTGTGCAGCAATGATGCTGGCACCTCATATCTTTGTTTCAAATACCATGCTAGAAACATGCCAAAATCAGGTTGCACTGTGAAGCTACGATGCATGTCTTTTGGCACTGGGTGCTGTGGCATCTGCACATGCTGCGCATCACTGGGTGCTAGAGACTTCCCTACGAACAGAGCAGAGGTAGCAGCTTGGATGGGGATCACCAGGGTGGTCTCTTTCTCCAGAGCTAGTGAGTATTTTGGGTCTGTCAGTTCCCTTCCGTCATGTTCCTCCTGCCGCTGCTGGCGGCCGTGCCGAGGGGATCCCGCTGTTGGGACTGGGAATCGTAAAGCGGCTTCCTCCAGGTCCAGACTGCCAGCAATTCGCCGTTCCTCCTGACACGGGCTAGGCGTGAACCGCTGACCCAGGGATGAGTGTCTGTAGTTCATTACTAACCTCTGACTCATCCAGTCCCTCAAGGCTCCCTTTTTGTTTCTTTTTCTTCTTTATTTATTTATTTTCACTGGTGGGAAGGAGGGAGAAGTTTGGCTAAAGAAACTTGTGCTTCAGATGAGTCTGCGGGACGTGTCGCATCATCTGCGCAGAGGTGGGCAAAACGTGGCTCACGGATTCTTGCAGTTGTAAAAAGGACGTGCCTTTTTTCACCCTTGTCCTTTCAGCTTAAAGGCCTTTCTCGTGTACATATAAAATGTAAAAGCACATATGAAAACATGTGTGCTTGTGTATAAATGTGTGGATATATACGTATTATGTATCCATGTTTAAAAGTGTATATATATTAATTGTACTCTATATTAATTGTCCTCTATATATTAAAAATATGCAGATGTTAGAAGACAGTTAAGGTATTAGGAGCTGCTTACCACTCCTGAGTGTTACCTTCAGTTGAGATTCTGACTCCATAGGCTGCTACAGATTTAGACGTGCTGGCGACCTGGATGGACTTTGGCCTGTAAACATTCTTGAAAACAAATAGTAAAAAGTTATATTTAGCTGTTCACTAATATCTCTGCATGGAGGGGAAAAATGCCTCAGATTCTTCTGGTATGCTGTATTCTTTGAGTGGATTTGGTTTTTGATCATCAATTCAGTTACTTTTACTGGGGGCGGGGCAGAAATCAAAAGGGTTTTTTTCTCCCCCCTTTGTCTCAGTGGATTAATTTGGAATACAATGTTTTATTTTACTGTTGAGAACGCTAGAAGGTTAAATTAGAAAAACAAAAGCACTTTTTTTGAAAAAACTTGAAAAATATGTGTAAGGCTTCTGTTACATTATAGCAGACATCTTATGAGCCAGAAAATAACAGCTGCCTTTGACTTAAAAAAAAAAATACTGACAAAATTTGTGTCACACTTCCTTTGGACTAATGGTTTGTGTAACAGCCTGATGTTTCCTGACATTTGATGACATTTTATTGCATAAGAAGAGTCTGTACAGATCTTGAAGTCTAGCTGGTGAACTAGCAGGTGACACAGAAGGAGTTGATGTAGCACCTTTTTTCATCTTGTTCTGCTGACAAATATTCCTTCTGGTCAGGAAAATTCATCTCTGAAGGCCACAGAAGGTGCCTGTTCAGTCAGCATTAGCAGTCTCCAGAGAAAGTTCAAAGACACCATGTTAATCTTGGCTTATATGAGGTTAACAGTTGTCTGAGGCGATTATTGGTAGCTAATAAAATACTTTTAGATGCAGGTAATTCTTAACAGGGCAGCTAGCATGTATGGATTTAAAACAACAGACCGCAAGAGAAAGGCAGTGTGCACCTCTGCGGGAAAAATTATAAATAAAAAGAAACCTGCCCACTCTTCTTAAAGAAATGAGTTTGGGAAGGTGGGAGAGAAGAGGAAGCTTCAGTAAATACAAATCTTCACCAAAGCTCAGAGCCTGGAAGTATCCCTTGGCTCCAGTTAAGTGTAATGAAGTGGCTTAATTCAGTATTACTTGAACAAAGGGAAAAAAAAAGCTCATCTGGACCATAAGAGCATAAACATGTTACTCCAGCCCAGATGTGCGTGCTGCTGCACGGAATTGCACGGCACTGCTGGCCGTTCCCTGATGGCTAAAGACAAAACCAAGCCTGAGGCTAAAGTTTCTACCAGTCACAGAATTATCAAACTGATTTTTGCCACTGTAGGCAAGGATAAAAGCAAGGATTATATGGGCCCATTTGAGACTGTGTCCTAGATAGGGGTGTATGCAGAGGGACCACAAACAATCGGCGATCAGTGCTGATTGAAACAGTATAAGACCTTCGGGGAAAAATTTGACCCTCTCCTTGTTCAAAGCCGTCAGAAATATGAAAATGATACTCGTGGAGGCTCCAGGCAGTGAAACGCACATTGAGGACAGTGTGGTCTAAGTAAATTCCCTCTTTAAACAGAAAACATTTTTAATACTGACTCACTTGTGTCAGTAATATTTTCATCTTCCCATTCCTTCCACCCTTTCGTAAGGTAAAAAAAATAGTGCCTAGAAACTAGGCTTTTGTTTTCTAACTAAACCGCAGTTAACGGCCACATTTTGTCATAACACTGACTGCTGGAGTTGTCACTGGGACGCTGCAAAGAGATCAATGAAATCGGGATAAGGTCAAGCTTGTAGCAAGCCATCAGCGGTATGTGTTTCGGCTTGTGTGGAGAACAGGCTTCACCAAACAGGGCTGAGGTGACATCTGGTTTGCTCTGAGGGAGATGACTCCGCGTTTTGAAACGGGCTGTGGGCTGTAGGGGCTGATGGTGGGAGGAGGAACGGGCAGTACATATGCTGAATGCTGCTGCCCTTCAGCTTCTGACCCCCCAGAGTCTAAGAGACTGTGCGGTTTGAAGGCGGGGGTGGGATTTTTTTTCTTCTTTTTTTTTTTTCCCCCCCCCTTTGGTACATGCAGAAAGTGGGGAGGTTTGCCAAAGCACCAGTTTAGGAAGACAAGTGGCATCAGCTTCCAGGTGCTTGTTCCACCGTGGCTGTATCTGAGGGGGTGTTTAGTTTCAGCAGGCAGGAGCTGCACAGCCTCGACTCTCCTCCCTTCGGTGGTACCGATGTACAGCTAAACCCTGCGTGTGGGCTTGTTTCTAAGGTGTAGCGCTGATTTTGCGGAAGGACCAGCAAAGCCCTCTGTGCCTACTGATACCTCTTGGGAGTGGATCGCCATGTAAGCGAGGGAAGGGAAGGGAAGGGAAGAAATGAGTTTGCCCCTGGAAACAGCTCATTAATTTCTTTTTCTTTCTCGAAACTTCCTTGCTCTCACCCAGAGGGGTGTCAGGTCAGGACTAGAGAAGGCAGTTTACAGTTGATCAAAGATGTTAGTGCTTGGTTTGGATCATCAGTATGTTTTCAAGTGTAAATATCCTGTTAATGCAGACCTCAAAACACTCCCACACTGTCCAAACAACTGATCTGTGAAAAACACAGTGGCCTGTGTTAGTGATCAAAGGAAGATATGGTACCTTAATGGTCAAAGTTTATTAAACAGTTTCATTTGCACCCAGAATGAAATATGAGGACTTGATGTGCAGAAAGATTCCTCCTCTATGATAAGACACGTG